TCAGAGAGTTTTTGGGAGAGCTGTCAACATCTCGTGTGTTGATTTTTGCCGAATCCGACAGAACTATTCATTGTGTTTTGTGATGCTTTGTTGATGTGATTGGGAGATATGTTAAGTGCGACATCAGCGAGTTTTAGTTATGCTTTAAGGCAACTTAAAGTACATAAGAGGGATTATCTGACGAGTGATTTAGAGTTGGTTGTTGTTGTGTTTGTGTTGGAGTTGGAGGATCCAATTGGTTAGTTTGAGATTTGAAATGTTGGTGATCTCAAGAGCTTAAGGTATTTGATTGATTTGGAAGAGTTGAATATGAGGCAGAGAAAATAATTGGGACTCTTGAAGGATTATGGTTTTGGATTGAATTACCATTCGGGTGAAGCAAACGTGGTAGCTTATGCATTGATTTGGAAATCTTTGCATATACCGATGATGATGGTGAAAAGAGTTAGAACTGATTGAGCAATTTTGTGATATGAGTTTGGTGTGTGAAGAGACTTCTTATGGAGTTAAGCTTAGTATGTTGGACCTTACTAGTGGTATTCTTGATGAGATTCGATAAGGTCAGAACTCTTGTTTGAATTGATAGATTGGTTGAATTTGATAAATTAAAGTCAAAGAGCTAATTTTCGGATTAATGGAAATGGTAGTATGAGATGTCGTGATAGAGTTTGCGTTCTAGATATTATTGAGTTGAATAAGAGTATTGAGGTAGATGGAGTATCCATCCCGGTGCTATGAAGAGGTAACCGTATTTGAGGAAATTATTTTGATGGTCGTAGATGAAGAGAGAAGTGGTTGAGTTTGTATATGCTGGTTAGACTTGTCGGAAGTCGAAGAATAAACGTCAGAGACCATTGGGTCTGACGCAACCGTTGAATATTCCAGAGTAGAAATCGGGTAGTATTTCCATGGATTTTGTGTTGGGTTTTCCGAAGAATTGGAGGGATATGATTTTAATTGGGCGATTTTTGGATAGATTGACTAGATTGGCTCTTTTTTACCAATGAGGATTAATCATTCTATGTTGAAGCTAGCTGAGATGTATATTGATGAAGTTGTGAAGTCGTATGAGATGTCGTCGAATATTGTGTCAGATGGGAATCTGAGTTTTCATCGAGATTTTGGGAGAGTTTGCAGACGCTTTGAGTACCATGTTGAAGTTGAATTCTACCTATCATCCGCAGACGGATGGATAGACAGAGAGGACTATCCAGTCTTTAGAGGATTTGTTGAGAGCTTGAGTGTTGAATCAAAGTGGATCGTGAGATAGTCATTACCGGTGGTTGAGTTTACCTACAATAACAATTATCATTCTAGTATCGGAATGGCACCGTATGAGGATTTGTATGGTAGGAGGTGTATGACTCCTTTGTGTTGATATGATTCAGACGAGAGTGTTGTACTCGGACCTGAGAATTTTGTAAGAGACGACTGAAAAGTTCAAGAAGATCCAAGAAAAGACGTGTTGTGAGAGTTACGATGGTGACTGATGTTGGTCGAGCTTTGAAGTCTCGAAAGCATACACTGTGTTTTGTTGATTTGTATCGGAAGTGACACAGCGGAAGCATGGGAGAAGTAGCATGTTAGATTGTTTTACCATCGTCGCTTGTGAATTTACATGACGTGGCATGTGCCTAAGTTGAGGAAGTGCATTTATTCAGATGGATGGTGTACAAGTGAGAGATAATTTGACTGTTGAGGCATTGCTAGTTCAGGTTGATGAACGAGATGTAACTTCGAGGTAAAGAGATTCCTTTGGTGAAGATAGTTCGGGAGGACCAGCTGAAGAAAGTTGGCTTTGGGAGTGAGAGATCAGCTGAGAGAGTCGTATCTGACTCTGTTCATTGAGGTAATTTTCGAGGGCGAAAATTCTTTTAAGTGGGGGAGAGTTGTAACACCCCAAATTTAAGCGGAATATTTCAATTAATTATTTAATTAAGAATATTTGTATTTTGGGTGGTTTTCGGTGGTTTTGCGGATTATTGAAAAAATGAGCATTTTTGGACTATTTATTTAATTAATAGTATACTATATAAGAGTATTAGTATTATTATCAATTAAAATGAATATAAGTGAAATAAAGGTAAATTTGACATTATGAAGAGTTAGTAAGGGTAAAGAGGGAAAAACCCAATTTGTGGGGCCCAAGACTAAGTTAGACAAAATTGAGTTTTAAAAGGAAATTAGATTTCATTTTGTGTTTAACGTGAAAGTTGGTGGCCAAAGCTCTGAAGGAAAGGCTGGAAGCAGAAGATCCCAAAGATTAATCGTGAAAGCTGCGAATCGACTAAGGTATGGGGAGTATCGCATTTCATGCTTTTCTATGTATGCCTTTAGATGTGTTTATGGTTGGTCTATGATTTAAGGTATTTTGGGTTGATTTGGGAAAATTAGGGAAAATGATGATAAGACTCTGAGAGTATGGCTAATGGTATGTATCACTGGATATTGATATGAGAAAGGAAACCTTAGGCCTTTGTGGCCAAAATCTTAGATTGTTATATATCTGCCCATAAGGGATAAAATATTTGATATTTGAAATTATGATGCCTTCAGAGCAATGGTAGGGAAATTGTGATTTAGAACATGAATAGGTTCCGGGATTGGCCTAATAAACCATAGATTTTGTGTTTTTATCGCCGTAAGACCTTAGAGATGATTTAGGGATGTTTTGGGGCATTGCGGAAGTAAATCGTGTGGACTTTTGGGTTGATTTAGGTTCCGGAGCGTAACAACGTTTTGCTGTCCGTCACGACTGTTCATGTTTTCGGTCGAAATTGTTTTGGACGTAACTTTTGATCCGTAAGGCCGTTTGGACCCCCGTTCGAAGCGTTTGAAAGCTAATAAACAAGGATATAACATAGTATAGATAAGGGAATTGGTGTCCCAATATTTTTATATCTAATTATGTTTGAGAAGTCAATTGTGTATATGTCCTATTAATGAATCATGTTTTGGTTCAGTGAGGTCTTGACGTTTTGATGCTGCGATTTTCCTGATGAATTACCATGAGGGTAACTGTGATAATATGATGAATTAACATGAGTATGACTATGAATTTTATGTGATTAATAGGCGATAGTATGAGAATTACCGTGAGTATAATATGATGAATTAATATGAGTATGACAGTTAGGTTGCGTGAGTAATAAATGCTAGTATGAGAATTACCGCGAGTGTAATTATGATGAATTAATATGAGGCAATGTGAGATGATATTAGGGATTAATATGTAAATACTATGTGATGATATGACGAATTAACATGAGTAGAACTGTGAAGTTTATGTGATTGATAGGCGATAGTGTGAGGATTACCGTGAGTATAATTTGATAAATTAATATGAGATGATATGGGGGTAGTATTATGAATTGATATGGGATAATATGACTATGAGCTAATATGTGATTTATACGTGATTATATGATGGCATGATGTGTGAGATTAATTACTATGATGAACTATGATGATATGTTGTATGACGAGTAATATGATGAATTATGATGATATGTTGTATGATGATTAATATGATGAGATATGATGATATGTTGTATAATGATGATTACTGTGATGAGATAAGATAGCATGATGTATGATGATGATTGTTACGATGAGCTATGATGACATGATTTATGATGATGAATATGACGATGAGATATGACGTGTAATGATGATGAATATGATGAATGATGATGTACCATATGTTGTTATTATGAGAACTATTATGAAGTGTGCATCATGCATTCATGTGCATCCGGACATCGGTTCAGGACCTTGATTACTTTGGCTTCAATCCCACTGTGCGGATGTGAAGTATTATGATGTGCTCCGGTTCTCTAGTAGAATCGATCCTATTGATGGGGGATCTATGGAGGGTTGATGGCGCAGTGTCCATCGAGCTGTGATGATTGGTACCACATGCATTGAGTCTATATTGCATTTGCATTTATGAGCCTTTGTGTATAAATTATGACGTTGTGGCCTTTGAGGCATATTTGAATAATATGATTGGGTTGAATATAATTATGAGTAATATGCCGTTTATGCATTAATTGTCATACATTGATTATTATGAATTGTCTTACTCGCCCTACCTGTTTGAATGTTACCTCCACGTGGGTAACGTGCAGATGAGCAAGTTTAGCCGTGGACGCCGTCGAGGAGTATTTTGAAGTTTTAGAGTCGTTAGCCTTTATGGTTAATTTAGAGGGTCTTGCTCTGATATGTAACATCGGGTTGGGTTCTTTGAGTTGATTGTATATCATTGAGTTATTTTACTGATGTTCCCTTATGAGGAAAACATTGAGTTATGTTTGAGTTCTGCTGTATATGATGTTTTGATGTATTTTGAGAAAACCCATGTGTTACGGAGTATTGACCAACTTTGTTGACTTTGAGAAATGTACGCCCTTTGTGGTTTTTTAATGAAAGTAATATTTTACTTTGAAATCCGTGTTATTTTGCCGTAATATTTGTGGGGTAGATTAAGGGTGTTACACTCGAGCTCGCTCTTGTCTCTTTATGACAGACTCTGAGCTCGTTCATCATTTATGGAGTATTCTTATAATCTTGTTGAGACTATTTTTAGAGGCTTGAAGTTAGGTAAACTTGTGTCATTATTTTTTTGATATAAATAATATTCTCTTTGTACAAATTATAGACTAATTCTTTAAGTCTGGAGGACTAATAGACAACAAAACTCATAATTTTTTTAATCTAAATTAAAATATAAAAAACTATATATTTATTTATAAGAAGTAATTGTATCTTTAAACCTTTATTAAAAAATAAAGGTAATCGGGGTGGGGTAGTGTTTAGTAGTACTACTATACTCCAAAAAGTCCACCCACCTGATTCCAAACACAAGGTCCAAAACAACACCAAAACCAAAACTAAAGCCCAAACAGTATCTCACTCATAAAATTCCTCATGTCTCACAATTTTTTTATATCAAAAATCCTCTTGTCTTGTTTTGTCGCACAGCTCAGTTGCCGGAAAACATGTACAGAGACGTTTCAAGTTGCAACACCTATGATTACGGCGACGCTGTTTATTGGGACGCTCGTTATATCCAAGAAGGTGGTTCCTTTGATTGGTATCAGCGTTACTCTGATCTTAAACCCTTTCTTCGTCATTATTTCCCTCTTTCTTCTACCATTCTCATGGTTGGTTGTGGCAATGCTGGTAACCTTTCTTATCCTTTTTCACTTCACCTATTCCACTCAAAACACTACAATTTCAAATTTCCTCTTAAACCCTTGTCTTTTACCTTCCAAACTCAACTTTAGGGTTTTCAATTTTGGGGTTTAGCATGTTACCTTGTTCAATGTAATTTATATGAAAACAATTTATTTTATCATTTGTTATAAAAATGACTTTGTTTTTAAGAGGCTCAAATTAACAGTGGAATATATCTATGGGGACCTGTCGTGAGCCGTATTCTCAAAAACTGCTTTGCATATAATTGTGAATTGTGTATACTTGCTTTAAATCTGTTATATGTATTTGTGTTTGAAAGAACTTGTAGTTGTCTATCTTATAAATTTCTGATAATTTGTTCAATAAAAGAGAAATATTTCTTGAGTTCAACTGCATATTTTGTAGTAAATGTGTTTCTGTAGTGTAAAAACAGTCACTGCTTTGGATCGGAAAAGTACGTTTTTCAAAATCTGAAGAATTTTCACTGTATGTTAGTAAGGCCTGTTTGTTTTATTTTTAAAAAAATAGTTTTTTTTCTTTGTATTCTTAAAAATAGTTTTGTAAAATTATTTTTTAAAATATTACAAATTTTTCTACATGCATTTTTTTAAAATTGCAAGACTAATTTTAATATCTACAACATAAATGTACATTATTGAAGATCAAAACTTAGTTGAAATCACAATTTTTGAAAAAAGTTGTATTTCAAAAATGATTTTTATGAAAAGCTATTTAAAATAGCTTTAAATTTAAGTGATTTTTTGAAATTTTGATATTCATTTTTTTTTTTGATAAATTGCTGAAATATCTAAAATATCATTTTAAGAATATTTCAATATTTCACAATCTTATTCTAAAAAAAAGGATATCTAAACTTTTATGCATAGTCTTTTGTCAATATTTCACAATCTTGTATCTTATTTGAATGAGATTTCTGTTTTATTGAGTCCATAATTTTTCAGAAAATTTACAAGGAGCAAACGGATGTATTTTGCAGTTATGTCAGAGGATATGGTCAAAGATGGTTACAAGGAAATTGTTAACATTGATATTTCATCGGTTGCCATTGACATGATGAGAAGAAAATATGAGTACATCCCTCAGCTAAAATGTATCTTATCAATAACATTATCTTGTTCTTTTTTGCATAATCTTTCATCTCTGAACTTGAAACAGAAGTGCTTAACCATATATTTAAAATGACTTCATGAATCTCAATAGACATGCAGATGGATGTAAGGGATATGAGCTTCTTTTCCGATGAATCTTTTGATGGTGTAATTGATAAAGGTATCACTTGATCATTTCAATGAAACCTTATCCTTATCGATGTTAATGGATTCTTTATTTATATACTGATGCTAATTTGGTTTTGCCATGTGCTTTGTTGGTGATTGATCTAGGAACTCTCGATTCATTAATGGTAAGGTGCTTAACTTATTGTTCTTCATCTGTTATCTAATATAGCATATTCCCACACTAATCATCATTTTTTTTATTTGCATTTTAGTGTGGCACGGATGCGCCAATTAGTGCTTCTCGGATGCTTGCAGAAGTGTGTAGGTTGTAAAGACTTTAAAGAAAATACATTTCTTTAAAATTTTGAAAGTAGTATTTAATATTCATGTTTTGTTTCTAAATTCTCGCAAAATACGCCTATGGTTTTTCTTTGCAGACTTCTAAAGCCTGGCGGGATTTATATGATGGTAATCTCATTTAAATAGATTTGAAATTCTATTTATCAGCTAGCTTTGATATATTCCGCAAATTTAGAAAATATTATTAAGGATTAAATTGCCCCTTGCAGATTACATATGGCGATCCAAAAGTAAGGATGCCTCACATAAGCAAACCTGTATACAATTGGAAAATTACATTGTATAATATCCGTAAGTTTTCACATATTTTGCAAATGAGAAATTATATTTAACATTTTTCGTATAACTTTAGGCAATGTGTTACATAATTGCATGATTTATTTCGAAAAGAGCAGTCTACTTATTGTTTAAGTTCATTTTTCTCTATGATTATATTTCTGTTAATCCATGCAGCAAGACCGGGATTTAATAAGCCAGAATGTAGTACTTCATCAAAGAAATCATTGTTGGAACCTATTCCTCTTACTGAAACCGGCTTACTTCCAGCAGATTGGGTTGTGGAAGATCCAGATTCTCACTTTATATATGTTTGTAGAAAGGTAAAGGACACAGATGTATAGCGTTTATTATTACTCGCATCGAAGCACTGAGGAAGGTGGTGTTTGTACTCCTCACACATGTTGTGCATGAGCTGTTGTCTCTTGTTGGTTGTTGCATTTGTTTGCCTTAAGCAAGGATTCTATCATAGCCATTATTTTCTCATCATTTAGTTGTAGAACACACTAGCACTTTATATTTATTTATTTATAATTCTACACACTTAAAAATCAGTGAGAAGTTATTAAAGCATTTCCCTTGATTACGAGTGATTGCACTTTATATCCAGGTTTTATTAGAGCATTTCCCTTTATTAAAACATATTTAAATCAAAGATAAAAAAAACTTGGTTAGAAGCAAGAAGTTATCACACTCTTTAAAATTTATTAAAATAATTAAATATTTAATTAAAGTATTAAATTTTATTGCTATTAAAAGAATATTAAAAAAATAGTTTTTGTGGTGGGGTAGGGGCAGGGGCGGGTCGGAGAAACCCATTTTCCATTGAAGACGGAGGTGGCTGATAAATTTTTACCCTCAATTGAATTAAGTGGTGGATCGTTTATAAAGAGACAAATGTAAATGCGGGGCTGGTGAAATTTGACCCGCTTTATTAGTATGTCTATCTCTATTTTGTACATGTGACGTTACATTTTATAACGTGGCTCTAGCATAATATTATGTGGCGCCACATCATATATTTTTTTGGCATGTCATATTTTTATTATTAAAATTAATTTAAAAATATTATTTAATATAATTAATAAATTAAATAATATCTATCAAACAATTAATAATGCCACTTGTTAAAAGATAATTGGGCAATTGGACAATGAGGAAGTGGGTTCAAGTATCATTGTCTTGAATCTTGATGGCTAATGCTTAAGCTGATTTCAACAAGGGAGTGTGTTCAGGTATCATTGTCTTAAACATATATGGGGTTTATTTTATATGCGTACCGTTGACATTTATTGAAGAGTAATGCTATTTAATACAAAATAATATCAAAGAAGAAAGATAAAAATGTACACAAGTCATTATTTTAGAGGTGAATTTTAAATTAATTTAAAATTTAACTTTTTTTAATAGAGATTATGGAGTAGTAATCATAATGAATGGTTGAGATTTATCTTGCATTTTTTATTTTGGTATTTTCTTACTAATAAACATTTTTCCTATATTAAATGGCTCTCCAAAATTCAATCACATTTTATAATAATTCATTTTTGTATATTAATAATAATGCACAGGACATTACATATAAGTAATCCAGTCTTATATATTAATAATAATCTTATATAAGTAATTCTGTTTGTTGGTTATCCCAAATTACATATAAATTAGAAAGTGACGGTAACAATACACATTTTAAGTAATTCAATTTTATATATTAATATTTTTTTTTTACATTTATAAATAATTAGTTTAAAAATGCTTTTTTTATAGAAAAACCATTTAAAATCGAATTTTTAAAAGAAAACTTATTATATAATGATAATCAAATTTATAATCGGTAGAAATCGTATCTTTCACTAGTACCACTGAGAATATACCATTGAATCTCTTAAAAATATTCAACTGTTTAGATTTTTCAACAACAGAGCAGAAAGCAGTAACATGTACTCCCTTAACCCACTGGATCCTTATTCTTTATTTTCAAAGAAACTTTACTGTACACATGAGATTAAGAATATCGGAAAGAAATAACTGTCATTGCAAATTTATTTTTTAATTTACTTCTTGAAAGTTGAAATAAAAGTAGATTTTATGTTATTTATGTTTTTGCCTTTTCAATTTTGATGTCTTTAATTTTAAATTTCATAAAAAAAAATCGAAATTCTTATCAACTCATGGAATAATTCTATTAAAAAACTGAACCAAACTGAACTATTATATATGATGACCTAAATTAAATCGAACCGTTTTAATTTTTTTAGAATTGAGCTGAATCAAATTTTTTTGATTTGGTGTAACAGTTTGGAACTCCGAACCGTAATAAATCATTAAAAGACATTTTTTCATAAACCATACCATTTGTTAATGAACTAAACCGTCGTACTTGTTTTTGATTTTTTTAATAAAAAACAATTTAAAAAGTTTATTCTTAACATTTTTTATAACTTTTTTTAATATCCTATTTTATATGATTTTTTTATTTAAAAAGATGATTTTGTATCTACTTTCACAATCAAAACTACAAATTAATTCAAATCAAAATCACAAATTCATTAAAAAAATTATAAATTAGTCAACTACAAAAGGGCATCACTAAATTGTTGAGAGAAAATCGACAACTGCAACGGAATAATCCAATAACACAATCTCTCATAAATATCAAATGCAATGACAATCAACAAAACACACTAAACAACACAACACAATTTTAGTGTGAAAAAGTCTCCGTTAACTAGGAGTAAAGAACCACGAGATCCGTAGGCCACTTAAATCTTCACTATAATCAAATAATGAGTACAATCAAGGTTCTCTCTAATACTAGTTATCAAGGTTATCAAACTCGCGAGTCTACTTAGACTCGTTTAGGGTTTGTAGACTCAACTCACAAACTCGTACGAGTCTATGGAAAATTAAAAATGACATTCAAAAACCTATAATTTGCACATATATGACACACTCATGCGTTCTTAAACTTATAAATGTCTCACATATGACACAAATGAAATAACAAAACTATTTGATTTTCCTTTTTCACTTTTCAACTTTAAATTATACATGACATAAACCAAATTATTCACCTCTTTTTGATGCAACCTATTTCTTCTCTTTTTATGAACCTAAAAAGTAAATAATAATTCAAATCAATGTTTCTAAAAATATTAAAATTAAGTCTAAACAAACAAATAATAATTCATTGTCATTTCAAAGGAATTTCAATTATGTTCACAACTAGAGGAGCTATAAGTTAAGCTTAAAATACAAATTACAAACCTCTTTAATTCTAGAGTCACATCTCCATAGAAATCTCACCCTTCAGTAGATAACATATCCTTCCTAAACTATTTTTTTTTGCCATAAACCATAAACTTTCTAAACTATTTTATCACATGCAAATTGATACATGTGCATTGGGATCATTGGACCTGATTGGACAATGGTGCATCACCTTTACACAAGATATCATACATGAGAAGCATCAAATTGAATCATATAAGAAAATACTTACACAACAAAGGATTAATTTATGTCCATGAACATGAACAAGGCAAGAGATAGAACAAACTCACGTCGTTGATGAAGGGAGGAAGAAACTTTGCTGAAACAAGAGACTAAGAGAGAGAGTATCTAATTATCATACAAGCAAAAAAAAGGGTTTTTCTAAAATAAAAAAGAATCTTTTGGGGAATTTAGGCCTTTTTGGTTTTAAAAAAAACAAAAAAAAAAACTTATAGACTCGTGATTCTGTACGCGTTTTTGCAAGTCTACCCGAGTTTACTCTAATCTATTAAAAAAAGATTTTATGCATGAGTCTACTTGTTTATGCTTCCTAGACTCGTAAAATCATACGAGTTTACGAGTCTACCCACGAGTTTGACAACCATGCTAGTTATATCATCAAGATTTACAACCAATCTTGGGATACAACAAGAATCAAGAGAGACAATCAACCAAAAATAACCACAAAAGTTGCACCTCAGAAGTGGACTCGCCAATCAGACAGAATGCTCAAAATCTGATCTCCACTGTTTAGAATGTACCTCTACGAGTGCTGAACGCTGTCATCAAATATCAAGATGATCCGACTGTTGGGTTGTGAGAAAACTTCAATCTCGTAGAACTACTCTGTGCTAAATTAGCACTGCGGGAATTCTACTCATCTCTCAATTTTTCTTTTGTTGTTTCTCACTATTGTAGATGTTCTTGATTGGCTGCATTTTATGGTAAAACATTGTTGTGTGTAGATGTCTTGACTGATGTCATGACATTCGTGTGTAGTGTACTACAGGGTAAGTTTGGTTAGCTAGAACAGAGTGTATTGGATGTCATGTTGGATGTTATGACATCAGGTAGCGACCAGCAAGGGCGCGTGTTTGTTTTTCTGGTATAATGCATGAGTTAGCTCTGGCTAGATTTCAGGAAACATTTTAGGGTTCATAGTTATCTCAGGCGAAATGCTAGGCAGTGCTGAGCATAACATAAAATGCCCATGACCTAATTGAAACAACCCTGAATTATGGAAAAAGGTTTAACTTGGTTAAACCTAACTTCTTCCACTTAGGCCCAAGGTCCATGCGCTGCATATAAATAAAGAAGTGGCAATCCTGATCATGGACGGACTTAGAGATTGTGAGTGAAGAATTCTGTTTGTGTAACTTGTTCTTCACGTGGGTTTTTGTGTCTTAGGATTTCTTGTGAGCCAAAAAATTATCCCCTAAATGATTGCATTGGACTAGTGTGTTTTGAGTTGTACTTTAATTGTGTCACTCTAAGCTTTTAAGAACGAGTGTTGTGTCTCTTGATTGAAGCTGTGAAGCAAGATCAAGATTTATTTGAAGTGTGTCTTCTTTTTAATCTGTAACTTAATTGGTTGATATCACTGTTGTGATTAAGGGGGAATGAGTAGGAACTCAAGTCTAGTGTTAGGCTGAAGTTGCATTGGGTAGGTCTTAAGTGAAGAGTGCAAAGTGGTAGTTTGGCTTTGAATTAACACTGCTTATAGTGGATTTCCTCCCTGGCTTGATAGCCCCCAGAGTAGGTGTGATTTGCACCGAACTGGGTCAACAATTCCCCGTGTTATTTACTGCTTTCATTTTCTATTTACTGTTAAGTTCTATAGTCTGTTCAGTAGTGGATGTCATAACATCCGTTATAACATCGAATGTCTGTTACTAGAATTTCAATTGGCACCAGAGCAGGCACCCTGCCTATTATTTTCTGGGTGAGATCTAGGGAAGATAAATTCTGGTACTATGGACAAGGATATATGATTCACAAATAGACCACCAATTCTGGATGGCTCTAACTATAACTACTGGAAACCTCGTATGATAGCTTTCTTGAAGTCTCT